CACTAACATACAGGCTTGTTACTAAAACAAGCATAGCTGTTCCATGAAGGAATGAGTGCACCCGACAAAGCGAGGAATGAGAGGGTGATAATGACGACTAAGATACATCTTGTCGATGCGAAGAGCTATCTTAGTTCTCATTATCATCATTATTCCTCTATAGCTCATAGTTACAGATCCGCAGAATCGTACGAGCATAGAGGTGCAATAGGCTACTGACATTGGACACTTAACTTTGGGTTGGTCATTCTGCCCTGTCTATGCCCATGGTGCATCCCCGTCATGCATCCCCGTCATTGAACAACTCGTAGGGACTGCATGTGTCTAATGCTGATATCGGATTACAAGATCACACACTGTCGCATTCTTACAACTTCAAACTGCTTCAAGTGGAAAACGTTCTCCACTGACCGTGCACTTATCTGAGCGTTTGCAGCGCGCGACGATGCAAGGTCGTATCAAGGCCGTTCTCGTCTACCCAACGTTGACCCGGCAAATGAACTTTTTTTGTTTCAAAGGGAGTCGTTGCTGCCTTCGTCTTTCTAACAATGCTGTCCTTGTATGACAGACGGATGCAAAAAGTAGCAACATAAGGGAGAAGCAAAGCCAGCGAAATCACTTTTTGAGACTGCCGAGCACCATGTCTAGTTCCAGCAATCGCAATGGCGGTTCTCGTATCTTATGGCTGAATATGGGTAGTGATAGTGTTAAGATACCTGTAAATCCTGCCTCTGTAATCGGGGTGTCAATTATTCGTTCATCTCCATATTTCTTCCAAAGCCCTTTCGAAACCTGCAATCGTTATTTTTAAAGAAAAGAGTTAGGAGATATCATGCTTATGGCTACAAATACAGCAACCATAGGCCAGAACATTCCCTCATTGTTTCTAGTACTTTGCACTTCTCAATTAAAAGTCTCAAAAAATGCAAGAATGAGGACGCCTTGATCATCACCGTGCGCGTCTAGTTAGCGTAAAAGAAGCAGATAATCGCTCTCAGATAGAAAACAGCGGTGTCTGAGAATCATGAATGACTATTCTACCAATATAGAACACTAAGCGAACCTTATATGCTCCATCATATTGAGCTACTTCTTCTCCAATCAGAAATACACGGTCGTCCCTCTTGATTTCTTCATCCATGGCTTGGTTCAGCGCATCTCGCACCGTAATAGCTTAAAGAAATATATAGTGGAATGAATACTAACTCCAACTGTTATAATTCTAAAAGGAGTGAACGGAAACTCTTTAAATCCGAAAAAAGTCACATTGTCCAGTTGCGAGGCATCGTTTGCTTGTGTTCAACAGCTGAGCCACGACAAGGCGACCGCAACTTTTGAGAGCCATGGAGAGCCGTGGATATTACCTGCAATCATAGCGAGTTAACTAGAAAAACTGGAGGCCGCCATTGTTTCGGACGGAAGCTTGTGCAGTTGATTACGTCATAGCCCGATTCATCATTGCTGCAGTTGTAAATGTAAATAACGGGAAAAGAAGCATGAACGACCGAAATCAACTCGCAAATCTCAAATAGGACGTCATAAAAGGAAACAATGTGCGGGTAGATAAACAAAAACAAAATAGACTACGATTGGACCATTACGATCTTACCCGCAAGTAGGCACCTCACCTGCAACCGGCGCCCCAGAACTAACGATGGATAAGTAGATGAGAGTATCGGTACCTGATTTTTAGTAGAAGCACTGCTCCACAGTCAAGTTCATATTTACATCAACAACCTCCTCCACTAAAGACGTCATCCAAAACTCATGAAGTGGGCATTGGCTACAGGGTGAACACGGGCGTGGTTGTGCACTGACGCAGGTTTTGATGGAAGCAGATAAGGAGCCGTCCAAAATGGCTCACGATGAGTTCAGTGGCCCCAAAAGAAGGCTTACCATGGTTTAGACTTTAGAGTGCAATCTTTGTCAATATTAGGCCGAATTGAAGGAACATTCGACAGTTTCCCGATGATTATATCAATAATTGGATGGGAAACCCACAACTACAAAAAGGCCGTTGTGACTCATGACGGTGCAACAACGCCAGCCCATGCGCCGCTCGGTGGTTTTTGGACGGGAAGAACATGGAGAATTGGACTCGGCCACCTTTTCGTCCAACTGGAACCGTGCGATCTCCAATGTTCTGGACAGCTGAAGTCATGTATAAGTGGCAAGTCGTATCAGTTTGACAATTGGGTGGCCCCGAAACAGACATAGACAGCGAATTATCCGCACTTGTTGAAGTAAAAAAGTTGCTTGGTCCCTGAAAGCTATTTGGACGCTGGAAATAAGTAGTCGACAGTGATGGAGCCTGCTTGACCGGACATTAAAATACTAGCTTTTCACCGCCTTTTCCATGCTCATTTTACCCTGAGAAAGGTTTAGGACCTGATTGAATGCGCTTGTAGAGCTCTTTTCTGAATTAACTGCTTCTGTAGATTGGAAGATCTCCTCCTCATTTCCGTTGAAACAGAGGGGAACACTCTTCGAAAGCACCTTACACTGACTGATCATTGTGGCGATTGATTTTGGTTTTTAGTGATGAGCAAATGGTTCAATACAGCAATCGTCGTGGCTGCTGTTTCAGTTGCCACATTCCTCTGCGATCACAAAAAAAGAATGGTCCCATTCAACTTATATATCTGACTGAAGGTGGTGGCTTTGATAACTGTAACATCCGAGCGACGTTGGCCCGAACAGTAGGTGACGGCAGAGAGTAGGACGCCCACCTAATCCGATTTTTGTTCGACAACTCAACTTTGAACGGGGCCAGAATCTTCCAGACGAGGT